CTGGCCTGTAAGGTTTCTGCTGAGAAGTCTGATGTTAGCCTGATGTGCTTTCCTTTGTATGTGATCTTATTTCTGTCTCTAGCTGCTCTTAACAGTCTGTCCTTATCCTTGATCTTTCCCATTTTAATTACTATGTGTCTTGGTGTTGTCTTCCTTGGGTCCCTTGTGTTGGGAGATCTGTGGATCTCCATGGCCTGAGAGACTATGTCCTTCCCCAGATTGGGAAGTGCAACTACCTCCTCAAAGACACTTTCTATTCCTTCCTCTCTCTCTTCTTCTTCTGGTATCCCTATAATGCGAATATTGTTCCGCTTGGATTGATCACACAGTTCTCTCAATATTCTTTCATTCTTAGAGATCCTTTTTTCTCTCTGTGCCTCAGCTTCTTCATATTCCTCTTCTCTAGTTTCTGTTTCATTTATTGTCTCCTCCACCGTGTCCAACCTGCTTTTAATACCCTCCATCGTGCTCTTTGACGATTGGATCTCTGACCTGAATTCGTTTCTGAGTTCTTGGATGTCTTTCCTTACCTCCGTTTGGATGTTGATGATTTTTATTTTGAACTCCCTTTCAGGAAGAGTCCCGAGGTCCACATCATTTAAGTCTTTCTTGGGAGTTGTATTAATAATTTTACTCTAGACAAGGTCCCTTTGGTGTTTCCTGTTTGTATATGGCGCCCTCTAGTGTCCAGAAGCTCTATTCTGGAGCTGCTCAGCCCTGAAGCAATGTTGGGGGTCACAGGGCAGCGGTACTGGTGCCTGGGGGTAGGAAAGAGCTGTTCCCCCCCTCCTGGCTGCTGTGCCTCTCTCCGCTGCATGAGCCAGTGGGCCAGTCACACAGGTATGTTTTTGTCCCAGAGCAGCCGGATATGGATCCCTGCTTTCCACAAGCAGCCGGAATCCCAGTCTCCCCAGGAACTCTGCCTGTATTAACTTACCAACCCGGTAGTCATGCGAGTCTCATGAAAGCAGCATGAAATGTAGGTTTGTGCTCCCAGAGCAGATCTCTGGAGCTAGGTATTCAGCAGTCCCAAGCCTTCCACTCCCTCCCTGCTCCATTTCTCTTCCTCTCGCCAGTGAGCTGGGGTGGGGGAGGGGCTCAGGTCCCGCAGAGCCACAGCTCTGGTACGTTACCCCGTGCGGTGAGGTCTGTTCTTTTCTCCTGGTGTGTGCAGTCTGGTGCCGTCCTCTTCCCTGTTGCTTTCTCAGGATTAGTTGGCCAACTATATTTTCTAATTGTATCCAGTTTTAGGAGGAAGCCTCTGTCTCTCCTCTAATGCTACCATCTTTAATCTCTCTCAAATTTGGTAAACTTTTGATGGGTTGGCATGAAGAAAAATAAAGAAGTACTAAAAAGAGGCTAATAGATTCAGAGGCCCTGGATTCAAGTCCTTACTTGGTTAATTATTGTTTTTGTGGCTTTGGAAAGTCTTCCAATCTCTTTAGACCTTAGTTTTCTGATTTATAAAATAGGGAGATTGAACTGGAAATGATATATTTGTCCTAACTGTGTAATCCTTTTTTACAGGAGATTTTGCATAGAAATTCAAATTTAAAATAAATAAATAAATAAATAAATACATTGTTTGTAGGGGTGTATGTGTGTGCATGTGATGTGTTAGAGCAGGTGCCCTGCTAGATTTGCCCCACCTTTGCCTTTGTATGACACCAAGGCACCTCTGGGCAACCTCCAAGACTCTGTGGAGTCAGTCATGAAAGCATCGGTCTTATGTCTGCAGAGCACTGTCCAGGACTAAGGCTATGTGTTTCTCAGGACATTGGTAAGACTGAAGGGACTGAAGGTATTCCTTTCAAAGCATTCCTTGGAAATAAATATCTTTAAGTGATCTTTTCATTAACCTTTTCATGTTTTCATTGCAACAGGAATGAGGATTCAATGAAGGATATTTTCTGAGATGCATTTCCCCCAAAATAATTTAAATACATGTCTTTCTTCTAATTCAGGACCAACTATCTTAATGACATGAGGCTTGTCATGTATTTCCAGAAGGCACATCATAAGAAAATCATTGCAGAGCAGATCCAACAGGCAGCACACAGTTGTGTTTGCCTGCTTGCCCTTGACCATCCTCATGCTAGCAATTACCCCGTTTACTACTAAAGGATGAATAGGAGTCTAATAGGAAACACACTTGCAGAAAGTCTTGTATATTGTTATCTGAACATTAAAGGAAGTCATGGAAGAAAAATAAAAGGTTGATAAATGTGAGCAGTAGAGACAAGTGGAAATATTAGATTTTTCTTGCATATAGGTTATTTTGACCTAAGTCTAAGTATTTGTTAGGCTGTGTTGAATTAGTGGGTGGACAAAAAGAAGTAAATGTTGTGATTGCAACTATAGAGGGTGATAGTCATCATACCTGTGAGCTGCTGGTAGTAACAGTTTCCTTTAACTGGGTAGATTTCAGAAGATCAAAACAGAAGACGTTTGATTTCTTCCAAATAAGCTTTTTCTGGACTATCTGAAGGAGACAGATTGAGTATCATTGATATTTAATCACCTTGGAGAGGTCTGGGAATAGCAAATAAAAAAATGATTATAAATTTATGCTGTTCAAATACTGGGGTAGAAGTAGGTAGAAGTGGAAAAAGTGTATTCTGATAGACTTACAAAAAAGTGTACACTTTTCTCTTAAGTTAAGGAAGTAAACTTTATGTATGATGTGGGTACAGCTAGGGCTCTGTGAATGTACATGCAATTTTGTAGCTTTTCAGCAGGATAAAAGGGATTTGTTCATTACATTTAACTGTCTATCTATCTATCTATCTATCTATCTATCTATCTATCTATCTATCTATCTATCTAATCTATCTATCCATCTATCTATCATCTATATCTATCTATCTATCTATCTATCTATCTATCTATCTATCTATCTATCTATCTATCTATCAATCGTGTATCTATCTATCACCTATCATCTCTATCTATCTATTTACCTTTGTCATCCCACAAACCTATTAGCTCTGGAGCCTGGAAGAAGGCATGGTTTTTCCTTATAAGTTTCCTAACAAGGTGATTCACTGATGCTAGTGCTACACAGTGTCTCCTTCCTGACAGTGACCTCACCTTTGCCTGGCACTCAATTTATTTGAGGACCCTTGATTGTTAAAAGTCTTTTACGGAAAGAAAAATGAGGTTTTATAGCTGGCTGCATTATGAATAGTTTTTCTTGCTTTTGTTTTGTAAGGAAGAAAAATACTTTTCTAACCTAATAGAGAAATTAGCTAACGTGCATTTAATTCTCTTTTTCAATAGATCTTACCTACATTGTTCCTATGGATGGAATTTTAAAACTGGTGGTACAAGAATAGCAATTTATTGTATTGGCTGCATGGAGCTTGGAAAAGAGGCATGCTTAGGCGATTTCAACAAATTTAAAATTAGCTTTTAGTCTGTCTGTCTGTTGAAAGAGTTCTAAAAGCAAGACACTATACTGTGAAAAGATTTAGGAAATAACTGTTCAAAGTATGTTTTTCTCCCAGTATATTTTTTACAAAGATTTGCTTATAATTTTGAGGATAACCAGAGTTGAATAGCCTTTGTGTAGACTATGAAGTATTCAAATGATCCAATCCCTCCATTTTATAGATTACCAGGCTCATTTTCCCATGCCAAGAAGTAATTTGGGCCTGAAATGATTTTGTAGTAAAGCTTAAATTAAAATTTAGCTACAACTTTCATGAAATCCTCTGGCTAATAGAGTAGTATCCATTTCATGGCACTGCTGAAGGCAACACGATATAAGATCATGACAAATACAATATTGAGGATCAATTCTGATTCTATTTATTTACTTATTCAATGGTTTTCTAAAGGGACATAATATAAATGAACCTCATTTTATGCAATTGAAAAAATACTTAGTAATATGCTTTCAAAACACATTAGATGCATTTTGAATGCACTTTGGGAAATATTAATTTACAAGACTGTATGTTAATCTTTTGTAAATTAAAGAAATGTTTGAGACATGACTTGTGATTACAATATTTTTAAGTTCAATGGTTTTCTATTTCTTAAACTTTCTTAATTTTGGACGTATGTGTTTAATGATGTGAGTGTGAATGGGAAGGGGATAGTAGGTAAAAGAAAGGTGAGGAGGTAGGTAATAGGAGAAAAAGGGAAGACCGTATCTGGAAGCAGAACTCTTTATTTCAGGCATTTGGAAAAAAAGGAAAAACAAATCTGCAAGGCAGCTGATGCATGTGAGCAAATCTTTAAGGTGTGGTGTAGAAGAGAACAAACAATGCTAATAGGTAAAACCATTTCCTTTGGGTGTCAGAGAAATATACACTGGTGAATCAGGTTTATCAGTCATTTTTCTTGTAGGTGTAAGCAAAATAAGTTTACTTATGATACACAGTTAACATCTCCCTTCTAGTACCACAACAGCCTCTGCTGATGGCACCTCAGAATAGCAGTGTTTACCTTTAAAGAGCCCAAAGCCCATTCTAGACATATGATCTGTTTCTTTTGATTCCTTACCTTCCCATATAAGCCCACATCTTCATATTGCATCTGTACCTACCAGGCCACCAGTGGAAGTTCAATGAGTTGTTGACTGATAGACTCAGTATATGAAGCTGCCCAGCCTGCCTAATGCTGGGTTTGTAGCTAGTAAGAGATGCTTTCAGAAGTTCTGATTTGCCCCTCCTAAGCATTTCTTCATAGCCTCTCTGAACTTGCTCATGCCTTAGGCCAAGGTCTATGCTAAACCACATGCTTGCAAAAGCTGAAGCCAGCTCTACTTTCTTTCACTATCAGCTACCATGTGATATGACTTCCCATCCTCATCTACTCCCTTCCCACTCTCACTACCTTTCCTGGAAGGTGGGTGAAGATGTTTCCTTCACCGGGAAACCAAGACCCAGACAGTATTTGTTGCATCTCCAGGTCATCCACGCACTGTAAAAGAAGAATCTGGGTTTCTTCTGTCCTCATGTCTTCTAAGTGTTGTGTCACCTGCTTCTTTATAGATGACCAACTTCCAGTAAAGAGCAGAAAGTATTTTCTTTGAAGAGGCTGAGAAAGCATTAAATACTGAAATGAACAAGGAGTTTGGGGTCAGAAGTCTAATAGGTGAGTTGTAACCCAGCACTTTCTAATAGTTGAGTTGCAACTCAACCAAGTTGAGTTGGTCTTGCACTTTAGTTTCCCAATCTATAGATTAGTAATAATAAAGCATCACTCATGAGCGAGGGAGAGCATTGCAAAAGTGATGAATACTGGAAGTGTTCCATAGACCACAACAATTCATAAAATTTTAAATTATTATTTGGGTGTTTGTTTTTGTCGATATATGTTTTCATAAAATCCAGAAAATTTAGAACTTTCTGGTAATATTGGGTGGATGGAAAGTTGAACACTTGACAATTTGGCTTTGGAGCAGGGAAAGGCAGAAGGAAAATGGAAAAAATTTCTGCTTCACCCTGCTGTGTCTTCTAGGTGATTACAATTGGCACTCCCCAAAGTTTATACTATAGAACGATACTAGTCTACCAGCAGTTTGTGCTTATCTTGTGCATTTTATTATTTCATGGTTCTGAGGAAGTTAAAAGCCATGATACCATTAAAGGTAAAATGAATTATTACTTTAAAGTTCAAGCCAAATTTATGATAGAGTTTTCCAGAAATGTATAAAGAATCATTCTTATAGGTTCCTGTTTCAATGAATTGCTCTTTATTTGCCATGCAGAACTCTGTAAATATTTTACTTTCTTCAGAGTTCGGAATGTGCAAGTGTGATTTATTATTTCTAATGACTGGAAAGAGGTTTAATATCTGCAAACAAAAGGTATGAGTTGAAAGAGAATGCATAACAATATGTTTCTTTGTAAGTAGTGAGCAGAAACTCATCTAAGAAGGAAAAGAGTGATTCTCAAGATGATTTGTCCTGCAGTCATTCCCAAGAGGTAATGTTTAAAATAATAGTACCTTTTATTCATTGAGCCCTCACTGTGTGTAAGGCTCTTTTTGGATTAAGTGCTTTATGTATGAGTTCTGCTCTCTGCACTGACTAACAGAGGGGTAAATTGGATTCTGTTGAGAATGTTATTGACTATGTTGTTATGTTATAGTATCAGTCCTTTTCAATTCCTCTAAATGATAATTCAAAAGATCTTTGAGAAAGAGATAGAGACAGATAGACACAGAGACCAGAGAGAGAGAGCCAGAGAGGGAGAGAGAGAGAAAAGACAGAGATTAAGACAGATTAGTTATGAGATTCAGGACTTTGAGGAAAAACAACTCATGACAAATAATAAAAACATAACTATATTGTCTCTCTCAGCCCTATTTCAGACATTCAATGACAGTAATTACCTATTGCCGCTGAATGAGAACTTGGGTAGGTTCCATAACTTTTCTAATCACACTTAGGTATTGGCATATTCAACTATCTCTTTTAAGAAACAAACCTAGTTTCAGTGTATAAATTAGAGTTGCCAAGTTTAAGATGTTAATACAAACTGAATTTGTTAATACAAATTGAATTTGATTCAATATAAGGTCTTTTCCCTGTTTCCAACTCAGGCCTTCTTTTAGTGGATGGACATGACGGGAGTGGCGCAGTTAGCTTCTGTCTTTCTATGCTTTGTGCATTCTCCCTCCTTAGCGATCTCCTCATCCAAGTTTTGAGCTTGTTCCTGGCCCTGTGAAGGTTTGGAAGGGCAGAAGTAAGGAGATAGGAAAGATCATAAATTGTTTTTTCTGGGCTGCATCTCTAAGGGAATTCTCTCGCTGGTGGCTCGTGGGCTCTTTTGAGATCTCACCCTTGGGCACTCTCACTTTAAGGATTGTAGACCCCGTCAGATCCGTTCTTAGTCTTCCTGGTCTCTTTGATTCCCTTTCGCAGTCTTCAGGAGTGAAGTACCTTCTAGCTTCCTGTTTCTGAGATTCCTCTGCTCCTCCAGGCGGCCGTACCTCACAGGGCTTGCTCTGACTCCTCCTATTAAGGCACTAGCATCTCATCCACCAGGAACTTTCATAAAATCATTGTTTCAATAAAAATTTGGGAAGGCAGCTCAAATGAACAGGGCCACCCCCCTGAACAGCCTACCACAGATCACTGGCTAGCTCAGGCTTGAGTCAGGCTTGAGTCCTCTGTGTCCATCAACCACAAGGGAAAACCTAGTTCTTCAAATGGTGCCGTCAAAGTCTATTCATTATGCTGGGGAGAAATGAAGCAATACCAGCACTCATCTGTCCTGGGAAGTGGGAAGAAACTCAAGTGTAATTCTCTCCAAGGAAATATCTTCTCAAATCCTTCTCCCCTTTGATCTTTGTTTTCCTTTTCCATTTTTATATATTTATATTTTTTTATATTGTCAAAGTGACTGAGGTGGATCCATGACTTAGGAAACCATTTCTCTGACTTTTTGGTAGGGACACATTTTGCATATGGCAATCTGTCTCCCACTCAGTTTGGCATCTCATATAGATTATATTGGTGCCTTCATTGAAATGAAGGCAGGAGAAATTCCCCTCTAATACGTGAGTAGCAACTTTCTTTGCAGTTCAAATAAGTATGAAGCAAAATAAGAAATTCTAGTGGTTTTATTAATTATAATCTTAGAGCCTAGTACAATTCTAAATATATCAACAGTACCTAGGAAATGTTTGTTTACAAAAGGAAAGGAGGAAGAAAGGTTGACAAATCACCTTTCATAATCTGATGAGTAAACCCATATTCCAATGCCTGCTTCTCTCCCTTTAGCTGCTGTCAGCTTTAACCTTAACTTTGCTCTTAGATTCAGTGGTCATATTTAGTCTTTTTACATCTGCTCTCTCTCCTTGGGTAACTGAGTATCTGACTTAGGTCATCACTCTGACTTTATATTTGCCACAAAGTATGGTTTTAGGGTAGGCTTACACTCCTTTAATGATGAACCCTGGCCTACCTTATTTTTATTAATTTATCGAACAATTATTGAGAATCTGCCGTAAGTCAAACATTAAGTAAGGAGTGAGAATACAAAGCTTAAATACAAAGATAAAGTCTTCATGTGTTAACACAAATGACTGATGTAAGTGACAGACACTGTTTTATGGGGATTATCTGACTTAATACTTACAATAGTCTTGCAAGTAGATATCATCATCATTTACATTTTATGGAGGAGAAAACATAGCACAAGAAAGCTACGTAAATTTCCCAGGATCTTACAGGAGTAGATGGAGCTGGCTGTCTAATTCTTAACCAACATTCTACACAACTTCATCTATTCGGTTCTGCCTTTTGTATTGAATAACTTCTGTCTGCTTCTAGGGTAGAGCTAGTGGGTTGTTGATGGGGCTAGAACTAGGGTTGGTGATGGTAATGAAGCTCCTAATGAAAATTGTGGAATTGCAATATTGTGTAGTCATGAAGAGCATTGCTTAAAATCATGGCTTCAATATTAAGTAGCTTTGTGTCCTCTTTATGCTTTAATTTTTTAACCTGTAAAATAAGAATAATGGCAATATCCACTAATAGGGTCATAGGAAGGAGGAAACAGAATTTAACTAACTGTGTGGGCTCAGCAAGTATTCAATAATTTATTGCTATTACTTTTTGAAATAAAGATATATTTTAAGGTACAATATATTGAAAATAATCAAGCAGCTTGATCTTCTTTTGAAAAAAGTCCAAGGCTTTGCTCTTAGTAAAACATCTATGAATGAGAAACTTTAATTATTTCTATTTTAAGGAAGAGGAAGTAAGAAAAAAACTTCCAAAGACTTGATTAAGTTTTCCTAAGAATTTAGATTTTAGAAATTATAACTTATAAACAAGATTTCTTTTCCCTTTGTTCTCTTTGCTGTGGTGCATACTCAACAGAAAGCAAATTTTCAGCATTTGCATTTTTTTTTTCTCCCAGAAGTTTTTTTTTTCTTTTACCTGAAATTCCGTAACACCAAAGACCTGTGAAATCCATGTACTTGACAGTTAGTTTGTGACTTAAAAATGGCAGGGTTGCTGCAAAGTGAAGTATCTTCCTTGTGGGGAACCACAGGCATGTAGATGAAGGATAATTGCCTCCACAAAGACTGGGCACGGCCCGCATGGGATGTGAGAGGGGGCCTCACAGGGGCAGACCTTAATTAAGCTCCTAGAAGATCCTAAGGTAGTGAATGAAGCAATCCTGTGTTAGCTATGAATAAGAGCCTGTTTTAGGGACTGAGGTCTATTTGGAATTGTGTTTGTCTGCAGGCTTCTCATAGTTTAGCCTTTAATCTTTGGATAGAAATTGGCTAAGTAGAAGATTACATCATCAAAATGAATAGAATGATGCTTTGTGACATTGGAGGACACATAAAATATACAAAAGCATTCTCACAAAAGGAAATAAAGTACAATTACATATGTTCGGAGTCATAGGAACTCTGTAAAGGAATCCACAGATTTGAATTTAAAACTATTTCTGTAAATTAAAATCTTTTGTAGGGCACAGGTTTTAACTTTACAAAGAGAAAAATTATCCAAAACATGGGACAATGCTTAATTTCTTAGATCTCTACTATTTAACTTAGTTTTTTGAAAGGCTCCTGGGGAGTAAAGGAGAATCTCCTATAGCCTATAAAATCTCCTATAGCCTCATGTCATGGCTTCCTGCTGAGTTTCCCCGGAAGCCCACTGATTCTTAAGGTACAGCGGAGAGTCGTCTCTTCAATCCCTTCTGTAGCTGAACAGGAAAAAGGGGGAGAACTCTCTTTCCATTCATCTACACATAAGAAGGTAGTGGGGGAAAGAGAGAAAGAGAAAAAAAGAGAGAGAAAGGCAGCGTTAGAGATGGAAATAAAGGAGGCATAACAAGCAAGCCACTTGACAGCTTCTCTCTGTCTCCAGTATGAAACTGCATGAAGATCTATTCTCAGGAAAATGAAGTGATTTTCCATGCTTATTTATAGAAAAGATCTGGATTCATTCACCAAACTAGATGGCAGGTTCCAGTAGGATAGGAACTGTCCAGTTTGACTGTTATAATCATAACATTTAACTTATGGCTTGGCTTAAAATAAGTGAAAACCAGTATTTGTTAAATGCATGAATATCAGTGGTCACATTTCTCCTTTTTAATATTATTTTTGGTATAAGAAGTGAGGTATTTTGAATTAAAATAAAAGCACTTTTCTCATAGCATCAGGGCAGACTATACATTGTATAGCCTTTAATGTTCGGATAGGACTATAAATGTATACATGCAATGTATACATTGTCTAATTGTTGAGCCTTGTAGATCACTTTAGCAAGAACATTCCTTGGAAAGGTATCTAAACAGAAATATCCTTGTTGTAACCAATTATTTTGAGAAGCATTTTAACAAATTTAAATAGAGATCATTTCATCCTAGCATGTGTGTGTGAAAGGATGTTGCCCATTTAGATCTGAATATTCCTGTGGGGATTCTTAGTTGCTGGGGTTGATTAGTAAGGCCATCTGAAGGAGAATCCTGAAGGTTATTAGTCTGTTAAGGATGCCATAACAAGATATCATAGACTGGGTGACTTAAACAACAGAAATTTATTTTATCACAGTTCTGCAGGCTGGAAGGCCAAGATCAGGGTTCCAGCTGGGTGGATTCTGGTGAGAGCTCTCTTCCTGGTTTACAGATGATGCGTCCTTGCTTTATCCTCACAGCAGAACAAGAGAGAGGCAGCAAGTTCGCTGGGGTCTCTCATGAGGGCATTGATTCTGCCATGGGAGACCCATCCTCGTAACCTCATCAAAACCTAAATAGCCCCCAGGAGTTCCAGGTTAAGGCTTCAAAACATGCATTTTGGGGGAACAATTCAGTTCACACAGTCATGTTGAGTTGGTTGGATTTATTCTGAAGTGTCTGCAGTTTCTTAAGCAGCTGAGCAACAGAATATCACAGTCTATGTTTCAAGAAGATAAACCTGAGTAAGAATGATTGAAGAATGGTTATGACTA